TCTCTTTATTCAATGATCATAAATAGTTTAAAATACCACTAGGGTCAGTAAAATAGTTGATATGGAAGACAAGGCTACTGATTTATTTTTGAGCTAATTTGTATATGAGCAACTAGGTCAACGCATTCTCATCCCAAAGCGTAATATATTGACTCTTTTGACAAAGCGTCTATATCCAACGCACATGGCACCCTTTAGCGTCAATATAACACGCTTCGGTTTTGGGTAGGTTTAGGTCTGGGGTAGTGTTAGGGTTAGACCACTAGGAGGCGCCATATATCTGCGTCTCATATGACGCTAAAGGGTGCCATGTGCGTTGGATATAGACGCTTTGTCAAAAGAGTCAATATATTACGCTTTGGGATGAGAACGGGCTGACTAGGTCCAACAAGGGAACACATGCAGGCTTCCCCTTCTATTAAAGTTTGATGCATTGCCACGGCAACAGTATCTAAGATATCAATAATCCTTTCACAGGTCTACATCTGCCGTGTGTTTACATTATACACATAAAGTTTGAAGCAAGCCGGGTAAAAATAAGAGGGTGATTTCAAAGCATTTTTAAAGTGACACACTTCCTGCTGCCAGTTGGTGGCGCTATAACTTTGACTCACAATAGTCACATCCCTGTGATCGGCCTCTTACAGCGAACACACTGCTGAAGTTTCATCAAGATCAGTTAATGTATGCAGAAGTTATAACACACTTCCTGTTTCTCTTTTCGCGCCATAATTTCGTTTCCTCGCCACGGCCAAACCGTTCGAGATATCAAAAATATCCTTAACGTGCTCGAAAACTCTTGAAACTTTGCACACTGGTCAGAACCCGCGGCCATCAGGGCCGGGCTGAAGATGGTACCCGGGCGTGGCAGGGGGGCTCGACAGCGCCCCCTGGAACGGGGTCCGAAAACTTGGTCCATAAATCAAACTTGCTTACATGTAATAATATGAAACTCGGTACACATATAGATCTCATCGGTTCATATATCCTTTGTACTTTTACTTTTTACCCCAGCCCAACAGGAAGTCGGCTATTTAGGGTTGTTTGGAAAACGCATGCAATGGAATTTGAAATACTCCTCCTAGAGAATTCAAACAAACGCCTCGAAACTCGGTCAGCGTGAAGTCAAGACATTGAGGATGAAAAATTGCCAGGGGATTTTTGATATCTCGAACGGATTGGCCGTGGCGAGGAAATGAAATTATGGCGCGAAAAGAGAAACAGGAACTTCTGCATACATTAACTGATCTCAAGGGCGTAGGTTTAGGGGGGGACGCTAGGTACTAGTCCCAATCAATATTTTGAGGTGACAAATTTGTCCCCACCAATATTTAGCAAGCTCCTTTGAACTGCTATTTTGATCTTTGCGCTGATATTTGGATCGATTGACAACGGCCAGGGCGACTACAGTACAAGATACGCCGTAATTTGATTGGCGGCGGGTTATCTGACAGGCAGGCTACACGCGCGGGCCGGGACTACTTTTTGTGCTTGCACTCACTGGCAGCGAGCGGGTGGTGTGTGCTTGTGTGTGTGCGCGCGTGACGACGCCGACGGTAAGTTACCAGGGCTGTCTCTCTACCTGCCATATACAAAGGCCAGAGTAAAACATTTTAATATTCCGTTTTTTGCCCCTTTTTGTACTTTGTAGATCAGCTATGTCACCCAAGAAGAAAGGGGACATACGAAGCTTTTTCATAAAGCAGAGTGTAAGTAGGCAAAAATAACTAGCCACACAAATAACTAGCAGTAACGTTAGTAGTGACTGACCAGGCTTTCAAATGCAGATTCTACTGTGGAAAATAGTATTAACTGGTGATCCTGGTTACCCAGGATATTGTTAAAGTTAAACCTAGCTTCTGCAATCTTTCAAGGTTAGGAGCATTAATTAGGGGTGTGCAGCACGGATAGACTCATAGAAGTCGCGCTATCATGATAGACGTTAGCAAGTCACTGACTGTTAATTAGCCTACCTTAACTTAGAATCGTGCAGTCATAAACAGTGGATCATCTGAGAAATGTTTCGTTTCTACATTCTGTTTATGTAATGTATTTGTAGTGAAGCCTACTTGCTTAGACACATGTGCTGTAAAAACATGTTGGCAATGTTAAAAAGGCAAAAGTTAACACTGTTGGTTATTCAAATATAATGAATCATTATTTGATTGATAATATCCAAATAACAATATCTGGTATGAGGGTTAAACTTGCTAGCCATAGGATAGACAACATAATTAATTAACCATTTTGTAAGCAGGAAAGACAGCATCAAACCACAACAGATTTACATTTATTCATTTAGCAGACACTTTTTATCCAAAGCGACTTACAATTGAGAACAATAGAAGCAGTAAACCTAGGATAACAATATGCAAGTTTTATGACCCTTCCTAGTTTAATCTAATGCACTTTTTTTTTCTTTTTTTTTTTTAAGAATAGAATGTCAATAGAATTTGATATAGAATAGAAGGGGGGGGCGGTGGTGTCCCCACCAAAGCTGAGACCAAACCTACGCCCATGACTGATCTTGATGAAACTTCAGCAGTGTGTTCGCTGTAAGAGGCCGATCACATGGATGTGACTATTGTGAGTCACAGTTATAGCGCCACCAACTGGCAGCAGGAAGTGTGTCACTTTCAAAATGCTTTGAAATCACCCTTTAATTTTTACCCGATTTGCTTCAAACTTTATGTGTATAATGTAAACACACGGCAGATTTAGACCTGTGAAAGGATTATTGATATCTTAGATACTGTTGCCGTGGCAACGCATACAACTTTAATATTCTTTGTTGATGCTTTTGAGACTCTTAAAATACTTGAAATTGCATGAAACTCGACAGACACATCACATTTATTAGCCTATTGTCTGTGTTTATGTATGTGTGTGTGTGGCTGTCTGTCTGTCTGTTACAGTGACAAGAGATTAAGCCTTTCATTGCTGTGTGATTTTTCCTGCACTAAAGGATAAAGAAATCTCTAAGGCCTTGTCTTTTTGCATAACAATTTTGTATTTTTTTAAATTACAAAATATGCATAGAACCCAGATCTTTTAAATGTATAGTTTGCTTTATATAAAATTAAGATTGTATTGGTAATTGAAGCTGAATGAATTTAAAATGAATGTGCTATATTTCAGAACAATATATTTGTTTTCCTTAAAATTGTAAAACACTAACTTTATGTGTGGGAGTTTGTGTGTGGGTGAGATTTTGGTTGGGTGACAGTTGTAGGTTACAGTATGACAAGAGTTTATAGTTTGACAAAAGCACTTTGTTGTGTTTTATTGCGACTGTACACACATATAAGTAAACACTTTGCAGTTTGAATGATGTCCTCTATGAACAAAATGACAGAGTATGTTTTTATGTGTAACACTGTTCAATCGCACCCGCACCCGCACCTCACTCACACACACACACACACACACACACACACACACACACACACACACACACACACACACACACACACACACACACACACACACACACACACACACACACACACACACACACACACACACACAACATATTCCATCATTGCAATCTTGACATCGCAGCCTGTTCATTATAGCCTTAATAATATACAATGAAAAAATAGTCAACCTAACATATAAAAATTACACTTCCATATTTAAATAGTCAGTAGTAGCCTACAATTCATATCATTCACAGTAAGCACCGCTCCACTGTGATGTTTCCGAGCACATTTTTGTGCAAGTGAAGAGGATGATTTTTCTTCTCAAATTGTTTAGCTATGGCGAGGAATTAAAGTCATGTCAAAAAAGTAAACACTAAAAGCCTCATATCTTCTAAAAATTGTATTATACACCATTTATTTCTAGATAAAATTATACAAATATCAGAACTAAACCCATTTTATTCTTGTTTTCAATTTAAGAATAATGTACAAGTTTAAAAACAGCCAGAATGCGGTATTAAGTCAAAAAATAAATAAATCAAGTAATACATAGGGCTATACTACTTTTTGCTGACAATACAAAGGCAGAGTACAGTAACTTTAAAATAGTGGTCAACAAGTTTGAGCTCAAGATTTTTTTATGTAGATCATTTTCATTACTAAAACATCTAATTGCCAGATTTCCAGTGTCCTACCTATAATTAATTTGAAGGGACAACTAAAAATTGTAGGTTTCAGAAGGTTGCTCACGCATACTTTGTGGTTGATATGTGCCCTCGATGCGCACTTTTGCAGAGCCCACACTGATGCAAGCTCTACAGCACACTTATTTTCGACAGTCAAAGCGGGGTTACGTTTTTGCACGTTGTGCACAATAACCCTAAAGTAACCGTGGTAGCGGTGTCACCGGCTTGTTTATATATATATATATATATATAAATATAGCTGCGAGCAGCGATGAAGGGGAAAAGCCAGCGGGACCGCCTTTAGGTAACTAAAGGAACCGGGGTTGCGGTGCCACCGGCTTGGGCCCGTATTCGCTGTTCGCAGCTATATTCAAGGCTTGGGCCCTAATAAATAATCCTTAGAAGAACAATAGGGCTCTGCGCCCTTTCAGGGCTTTTCAGGGCTTGGGCCCTAATAAAACAATATAATCAATGAATAAATAATGTAACCTTAATGATTAAAATTATTTATTTTTATTGAAAAAGTAAGTGCTCTCATCATTAGGGAGTTTATTAATGATTTTATCACTTATTGGTAATATACTCTCCATAATTTGGCAAAAAGGCATGGAGATGTGTATTTTAAATTACTCTGTGTTCTACGTTATGTATGTATATACAGTGAATGATTTTGATACTTGATTTTTATCTCCTTTTTTTCTACTATTCTCTTTATTTAAATTTTTCTTGATTTATTTTATTGTACTGTAACGCACTTTGGATTAACTACAGTTGTGTTAAACTTGTGCTCTTTAAATAAAACTTGACTTGACTTGAGATGAAGGAGATATGAAAAGATTCAGCGGTTCAACTGTTTCCTATGTGTCCTGTATGTGTGCTTTCACACTGGCAGTTTAGTCCGGAACGGGACACGGTTCAACACGGACTCGGCTGCGCACTTGTTCAGGAAGAAAAGTAACCTTTTACTGTATGCGGTATACCGATGACGATGCATTTAGTTCAATAAAACACATGTAAGGGATACCAGCTAACAGAATTATGTTTTCCAAACGATGTTTTGGCTGTGGGAACAGTGATTTTAAATGTTCTAAAAATGTGGAAATGTCGAGTTTGTTTAATGTTCCTGCACCTTTTCTGCACCTAAATTTAATGAACAATACAAATAAAATAAAAAACGTTTATTTGGAACATTCCAAGAAAGTTAAAATGTCCACTTTCTTTTATGTTAAAATATTATTTTAAAGGGCACCTATTATGCAAAATTCACTTTTACATGGTGTTTGAACATAAATGTGTGTTGGCAGTGTGTGTGCAAAACCACCCTAGAATGATAAAAATCCACCCAGTGGTTTTTTTACAATCTCAATAAATCATAAGCACTGTCTCAGAACGAGCTGTTCTAAGATTCGGCGCAATGTGACGTAGAATTGCGCAAGCCCCACCGACGTGGTTTGATTGACACGATTGACGTGGTTTGTTTGGATTATTTCCTTGTAACGACTGGAAATAAGGTGTGGCCCCTTTAAGAGCTGTGCGCTCCCTGTTGAACTGTCGGCACGGGCAGTATTGTATTGTATGTGCCTCGAACACCCCTTTTGCTGTCTATGCGAAGTTGCGAACACCCCATGTATGCGGGTAATTTTTGTTTGATGCTAATTTTTATCTTATTTTGTTTATTCAGTAACGATGTGGACGGTAGAACGTGTGACAGACAGTTAGGCTACACGAGTTCGATTTGGGAATAAAGTGCGAGTTGTGAGATGCCAATCGCCTCCGTGTGTCTGTCTGGCCTCTGCATGCAATAACTTCAGTTGTGAGCTATCCCTAATCTTCCTGAAGCAACGCGTTACAAACTGTAGCCTACTTCAGTTTCATTGCGGGGACACCACCTTCACCTGCCATCATGTCTATCAGCTCGCTTTCGGGTTAAACTTTCCGCGACTGCGCAACTGGGTTATAGGTTGCCAGGTTGAGGTGACAAACGGGTTGAAATTGTAAATGGTCTGTAGTGTGGATTGTGTGAATATAATGCATTTAATACAATCTGGCAACTGGTCAACATTAGACAAACATATTGGTCCGATTATTCATAAAGGAGTTTGGGCCATGCAAATTACGGGAGTTTCCCGGGAGAAATAACAAACCGGGAGGGGTCCGGGAGATAGGGCTAAAAAACGGGAGAAACCCGGGAAAAACGGGAGTGTTGACAGGTATGAGCTGTAGAACGACGGGATATTGCCGTGCAGACAGAAACATCACAGCTATGCATGTTGGAAACGTTACAGAACTGTCAATGAGGACGCTTCAAAATCACAGTTTGTGTGTGTGTGTGTGTGTGTGTGTGTGTGTGTGTGTGTGTGTGTGTGTGTGTATTGCACATCCATAATTGCAAAGGGGACGCGATTAAAACTCTATAAGTACATAAATGTATCAAATAATCATTCCGAGACGTCCTGGTCCATTCTCATTGTGTTTTTTCTGCCGGAGTCTCTTCATCCTCTGGGTCTGATTCCGGTTTAAACATGTACGGCTGAATGCATACAAAACAGCGGGTCTCTCCTACCGACTGTTTCTGTTTATTGCCATAGGTACCGTAGGTACGTTACGCCCTCATCCAAAGGCAGGGCGGGATATGCAGCTCATTTACATTTAAGGTGGTACACACCAAAACAGCTCTTTTTAAAACAGGCCCCAAAAGTGACATTTTGAAATGGTTATAATAAATTAACTGTGGGGTATTTTGTGCTGAAACTTCACAAATACATTCTGGGGACACCCAAGACAAATATTACATCTTGTAAAAAGGGGCATAATAGGTGCCCTTTAAGGTAAGAATAATGTTCCTGCACAATTCATTTAACTTTTTTTTTAATAACACAACCATACAAACATTCCAAGAATATCACAATAACATGTGCATTACTTTTATATTTGCATATTACAGTTTTTTACAGTTGCTAGGACACATTTCTCAATACTTAGGTCACTTTTTCAAAAATCTTCACACAGTTCTCCTAACCAACTTTCAGCTCGGCACAGCAGTTCATTTCACATTCAAAATGCACTAAAACTACCAAAACACTTCATTCATGTCTCAAATCAACACATTCTTCCATAACACTAGCAAAGGTTGACAGCCAACAAACACACTTTGTCACCCACACAACAATGACCTAGAAAACACTAACAACATGTAGCATTATACAATCTCTGTTTATAATTCACTGCAATAGAGGTTACTGGAATGAATCAGACATGATGCAGAATGCTTCAATATATTTTATGTCTCACATCGCAATACAAAACTATTCAGCAGTTGTCTCCTTTTGTAATGAAATTGAAAGAGTAACACCTGTGTAGATGTTCATCTACAATGAGAATCAGGTTGGTCCAATTGTCCACTTATTTTTATAACATTTAATTTTAAGATGTAAAATATATTTCATTAAAATATTACTGTAGAAATGTAGCAAATTGCTGGTTGTTCAGTTTTGTATTATGTTATTGTTTTGAACATAAGTTTAACAGTTTTGAAAACAGTATGTAAGCATGTGCACATTGTCCTGTCGGTACACAGAGTTTTGGCGGTTGTTGTGTCGAAGTGAGAAAAGAATTAATGTAATTTGAAAGATGAATGAATGAATGAGGCATTTATATAGCGCTTTCAAATGTACTACATGATGAAAGATGTAGTCATTGAATGCATTTTGTGCCAAAGCAATGATAATTGATCCACAGTTTATCCCACATATACTTCTGTTGTGCTCACTGTGTGAAGAGTTTTGAAAAAGTGACCTAAGTATTGAGAAATGTGTCCTAGCGACTGTAAAAAACTGTAACATACTGGGAACAGTGATAATATGAGTGTGTCAGTGACGTGCAGTGATGTCTTAAAGAGGCTAGGCACTGAGTTACGAAAGCCAGATTACCTGATTTATTGTTTGGGCTAAAAATACGTAATAACAGTAAACGTTACGCACAAGCGCGGCACATCAAGAAATGTACAAATCAGGATGTATATCGTGTACTCTCTCTCTCTCTCTCTCTCTCACGCACGCACACATGCACGCACATAATCATAATACGCGGGTATTTTATCAGGGTCGACCACTTTTTATCAGGGTCGATATTGTACCCATAACTTTTTTAAACATTTCGAGACACGGATGTACCTAATACAACTAAATAAAAAAATCTCCATTTAACTTGCAGATCATTAAATAAGAGACGATTTAGAGCTAAAATGTGCTGTTTTGAAATCAAGCAGAGTGCTCGTTGCCGCTGCGATTAGTGGATTGGAGCGTCAAAACAAGCCCAATATTATTAGATTATTAGGGCCCAAGCCCTGAAAAGGCGAAGGCCCTATTGTTTTCCTTAGGATTATTCTTTATTATTAGGGCCCAAGCCTTGAAAAGGCGAATGTTACATGTGTGTCCTGAGTTTCCCCCCGTCACAGTGTTTTTGGTTCAGTCTAGTGTCCCAGTTTTCCCGCTCCTCGTTTGTGTTCAGTTCCTCCACCTGTGTTTAGTTAATTTGTCCCAGCTGTGCCTTGTTTCCCTAATCTGTTCCCTGTGTATTTAAACCCTGTGTTCTCCCACTTATTCCTTGTCCGTTCTCGTTTGTGTATGGTACGTTAATGTATAGCGTGTGTTGTGGTTCCCGAGTTTTGTTTATTAAATCCTGTGTTCCTGATCATCCTCGTCTTCTCATCCTTCCTTCCACCACGCACCCGTAACAGAAGAACGGACCAAAACAGAGATGGACTTGGCTGGCCATGACCTGACTGACTACTAGTGATGGCGAGATGAAGCTTCATAAAGCATTGAAGCGTTCCATCCAATTGGTTCACTCATGTGCCGAAGCTTCATGGTGCTTCATTTGCTCTATTGTGCCATCAAGTGGACAATAAATGTAAAACGTGCAGTGTGATTATAATGACACTATGGCTTTGGTGTCTGAAGCATTGAATGAATTAATCAATGATGTTTGTGATGCTTATACATAAATTATAAACTTTTATATGGTGTCTGTCTTTATGATACAATGACAGGGTCAAAATGAAAAGTGGAAACAAGGGAGAGCGTTGTCATGTGAATGTGCTTGTGTTACTTATTTTTTGACTTTGCTGACACAGTCAGCATTTTATTCATTTTTATTTAAAAATAACAACTTCTCCACAGTGCTCGGCTTCAGGCGGTTTCTTTTTTTTTGAGATTATTTCACCTGCTTTAGAAAATACCCTTTCACAGGGCACAGATGAAGCAGGGGTACAGAGAAAAGCAACAGCAAGTTGGTACAAGTTGGGATATACTTGTTTCTGTCTTTCCCAATATTCCAGGGGGTTCTCCACTCTGGCGATGTTTGGTTCACCCAAGTACTTCTGGACCTCCACTGTTGCATCTGCAGTGACATTTTGAGCCCTAGTCTGCAGGACTGTGGTGTCCAAACGATGCCACAGTTTGTTACCTAAGACAGACAGACAGACAGGCTGTAAGTGACTAAATACAATAATTAGACATTTATTACACAACAATTAGAATGTATCCAGTATCTATTACTTTGAGTCAAAGGCTGAGAAGCTTCTGATGTGTGTGGTTGTGAGGAGGACGAGGACGGGCTGTTTCGAATAACAGCAGCACATTCAGCAGTGAGCCTCTTCTCGGCCTCTGCTGCTTTATTGGGGCTAAAGAAGCCGATCTTTTTAAACCTGGGATCAAGCAGTGTCGCCAGTGACATGATGCTCATTGATTGCAATGTGAATAGCTTCTCCCGTAACTGTCTCTTCAGACTCTCAGCCATTGCTTTGCTCTCTGGAGTTTGGAGAATTCCCATGTCCTCCTCCAGTGTGTGGTGTAGCATTGACAAAAGAGGAATGACTTTTGATCCGGATACTCTCTTCTCCTCTGACAGCTCAACTGTGGCATCATGAAATGGGGACAGCACTTTTAGACATTCTGC